GCCAGAGCTCAACCCCCGCAAACACAACTAGGTGAGTACAACTAGGTGAGTACACACACACACACACACACACACACACACGGAATCTGTACATCAGTTGATAGACAGTTGAGAGGCGGGACCAAAGAGCTAGAGCTCAACCCCCCCCCCCGCAAGCGCAATTAGGTGAGTACATATACAGGCACTCATACACACACACGTACGCACGCACACCCGCGCACACACACACACACACATGCACATAGGGCGCTGGTGGATAAGTGGACAGCACGCTATATATGTAGTCCTGTGGACCGGGGTTCGCTTCCCGGAAACAGAAGGGCAGAGTTGCTTTCACCCTGATGCCCCTGTTACCTAGCAGTAAATAGGTACCTGGGAGTTAGACAGCTGTTACGGGCTGCTTGTGTGGAAAAAATGGTTAGTTAGTAATTAGTAACAGTTGATTGATTGACTGTTGAGAGGCGGGCCGAAAAAACAGAGCTCAACCCCCGCAAGCACAACTAGGTGAGTCCACACATGCCAACAGTCGGCCACAAAAGTATACAGGGAGACGAAGACAAACTTCAGTCTTGTTTAATTAAAGTTTTGATGAATGATCTCTGGGTGAAAGAGGGTGTGAAGTGGTATATTTGTGCCTGCAGGATCTGTATGTGTGTGTGTGTGTGTGTGTGTGTGTGTGTGTGTGTGTGTGTGTGTGTGTGTGTGTGTGTGTGTGTGTGTGTGTGTGTGTGTGTGTGTGTGTGTGTGTAATATTCACCTTGTTGTGCTTGCGGGGGTTTAGCTCTGCTCTTTCGGCCCGCCTTCGGCCTATGTGTGTGTTTGTGTGTGTGTGAATGTATGTGTTTGTGTGTGTGTGAATGTATGTGTTTGTGTGTGTGTGAATGTATGTGTTTGTGTGTGTGTACTCACCTAGTTGTACTCACCTAGTTGTATTTGCGGGGGTTGAGCTCTGGCTCTTTGGTCCCGCCTCTCAACCGTCAATCAACAGGTGTACAGATTCCTGAGCCTATCGGGCTCTGTCATATCTACACTTGAAACTGTGTATGGAGTCAGCCTCCACCACATCACCCCCTAATGCATTCCATTTGTCAACCACTCTGACACTAAAAAAGTTCTTTCAAATATCTCTGTGACTCATTTGGGCACTCAGTTTCCACCTGTGTCCCCTTGTGCGTGTTCCCCTTGTGTTAAATAGACTGTCTTTATCTACCCTATCAATCCCCTTCAGAATCTTGAATGTGGTGATCATGTCCCCCCTAACTCTTCTGTCTTCCAGCGAAGTGAGGTTTAATTCCCGTAGTCTCTCCTCGTAGCTCATACCCCTCAGCTCGGGTACGAGTCTGGTGGCAAACCTTTGAACCTTTTGCAGTTTAGTCTTATCCTTGACTAGATATGGACTCCATGCTGGGGCTGCATACTCCAGGATTGGCCTGACATATGTGGTATACAAAGTTCTGAATGATTCTTTACACAAGTTTCTGAATGCCGTTCGTATGTTGGCCAGCCTGGCATATGCCGCTGATGTTATCCGCTTGATATGTGCTGCAGGAGACACGTCTGGCGTGATATCAACTCCCAAGTGTTTTTCCTTCTCTGACTCCTGAAGAATTTCCTTAGTAGCCCCGGCAATGCCTCCTATCCTTCCTCTCTATCATACCTTGTTTTAAAGCTATGAAGAGTGTCTACTTCCACAATATGCTCCTTTAGTTCATTCCATTCCCCCACTACTCTCACGCTAAAAGAAAACTTTCTAACATCTCTATGACTCATCTGAGTTTCCAGCTTCTACCCCATGTCCCCTTGTTCTCTTACTATTCCGTGTGAACATTTCGTCTATTTCCAATCTGTCAATCCCCCAAAGTATTTTGTAGGTTGCTATCATATCCCCTCGCTCCCTCCTTTTCTCTATCGTTGTCAGGTTCAGTTCCTTTAGTCGCTCTTCATATTCCATTCCATGCAACTCCGGAATTAACCCCGTCGCAATTTTTTTTAACCTTTTCCAGTTTCCTAATGTGTTTCTTTAGGAGGGGACTCCATGACGGGGCGGCATACTCTAAAACTGGTCTCACTTAAACAGAGTAAAGCGCTCTGAATGCCTCCTTACTTAGGTTTCCGAAAGACGTTCTAACTTTTGCTAGCGTGGAGTACGCTGCTGCTGTTACCTATTTGTATGTGCCTCAGAAGTTAGATTAGGTGTTACGTCCACTCCCAGGTCTCTTTCTCGAATCGTCACAGGAAGGCAGTTCCCCTTCATTGTGTACTGTCCCTTTGGTCTCCTATACCTAATCTCATTTCCATAACTTTACATTTGTTCGTGTTGAACTCCAGTAGCCATTTCTCTGACCATCTCTGCAGCTTGTTCAATTCGTCTTGGAGGATTCTACACTCCTCATCTGTCACAACCCGTCTCATTATTAATTTCGCGTCATCCGCGAACATCGACATATAGGACTCGACTCCTGCAGACATGTTGTTTACGAATATTAGAAACAGAACCAGCACCGATCCTTGAGGTACTCCACTAGTTACGGTTCACCAGTCCGACTTCTCGTCCCTTACCGTTACTCTTTGGGTCCTTACTGTTAGGTAGTTCCTTACCCATGCTAGGACCTTTTCGCCTACGCTTACTCTCTCCTGCCTCTCAAGTTTGAATAGCACTCTCCTGTGCGGTACTGTGTCAAAGACTTTTTGGCAGTCCAGAAATATGCAGTCTGCCCATGCTTCTCTGTCTTACCTTATTCTTGTTACTTTATCATAACATTCCAGAAAGTTTGTTAGGCATGATTTCCCTTCTCTGAACCCATGTTGGTGTTTGTTTACATAGCTAATGTTCTCTAGGTGTGCAACAAGTCTTAACCTATTTATTCCTACAAGTACTTTACAGGGGATGCTTGTCAGTGATACGGGTCTGTAGCTAAGTGCCTCTTCCCTATCTCCTTTCTTGAAAATTGGTACGACATTTGCCTTCTTCCAGCAACTGGGCAATTCTCCCGACATAAGTGACTCGTTAAAGATCCTTGCCAGAGGCATGCTGAGGGCCTGCGCTGCCTCTTTTAGTATCCACGGTGATACTTTGTCCGGTCCAACTGCTTTAGTTGCATCCAGTGTTGTCAACTGTTTCATTACGTCCTCTGCCGCTATCATTACCTCTATATCCGTTTGTCTCTCATCTTCGATCATCTCCTCTTCTACCAATGGGAGCTGCTCAGGCTCGATTGTGAACACTTCATGGAAACTGGCATTCAGTGCCTCACAGATTTCCTTGTCACTTTCCGTATATGTTCCATCTGTTTTCTTTAGTCTTGTCGCTTGGTTGTTCACTGACATTTTCCTTCTTATATGACTATGTAGTAGTTTAGGATGCTTCTTTGTTATGATGGCAATATCGTTTTCATAATTCCTTTCCGATACTCTTCTTATGTTAATGTAATCGTTCCTAGCTCTTTTGCATCTAATCTTATTGTCCTCTGTCCTTTGTCCTGTGTACTTTCTCCACTCCCTCCTGCTTCTCATTTTTGCATCCTGACACTGTCTATTAAACTATGGGTTATTATATTCCCTCCTACTTTTTTCTTTTACTGTTGAATAAAACTCTCTTCGGCCTCCTTGCATTTTCACTTGACTAAGTCCATCGTATCTTGAACTGTATTTCCTCTTAGTTCTTCCTCCCACTGCACTTCTCCCAGATATTTGCTTATGCTCCTGTAATCCCCTTCCCTATAGTCTACTCTCCGTTTTCAGATGTCATATCCTGTGGTCACAATTTTAAGCTCGATCATGAAGTCAGAGACTAGGACACAATGGTCAGTGGCTTCTGTGGTCTTTCATGTTCCATATTCGTAATGTCTTCCTTATTCTGGGTGAAAATAACGTCTAATAGGCTCCGTGTATCCCCTCCTTTGTCCCTAGTGTCTTCCTTCATATGTTGTGTTAGGAGATTCCTATCTATAACTTTCACTAATTTTGCTCCCCACGTTTCTTATCCATCAAAGAGGATTTCTTGATTCCCAATCGAGCTCTCTATGATTGAGGTCCCCCATGACCAGCAGTTCTGCTCTCATTCTGTGAGCTGTTGTTGCTGCTGCCCTCCGCAGTTCATCTATACATGTTTTGCTATCATCCTGTCTGGGCCTTCTACTGTTTGGTGGGGATTGTAGATTATCAAGATCACAATCCTCTTTCCATCACCTGTCAGAATCCCAAGTATGGAGCTTGTTCCCACTAGTCCCCAGATTCTCAAGTTCCTCAAATTTCCATTTCTGCTTTGTGAGGAGTACCATTCCCCCTCCGTCTCCTTTCTTTCGTTATCCCTTGGTATCCCTCTGGGAAGATTGCATTCGAGATCATATCATTTATTTTAGTTTCCACTGTAGCAATCATGTCTGGATCTGCTTCACTAACCCATTCTTTTATTTCCTCTGCTTTTTTGGATATCCCATTAGTACTGGTGAACTAAATCTTGAGACTCTTCTTGGAAACTCTGGTACCGGAGTTCATGTAACTCATCTGCCTACCTGTCTCTCTCGTTGTGTGCTGCAGGCGAGAGATGGCTGCAGACCAATCTCCAATAAGTGGTTGTGAGGTGGGGAGTGCCAGGGAATAGGCAGGGGAATAAGAGGCAGAGGGGATATGAGAGGCAGGGGGCTGGGGGGCAGATGGGGTCTGGGCAATTAGGGGTGTCTGAAGGGCATAGTGGGTCTGAGGGGTAGGGAGGGTCTGAGAGGCATAGGGGGGCTGAGAGGTAGAGTGAAGTTGGGAGTCTGAAAGAGGGTGTGCTAGGGGCAGGGGAGAAGCAGGGGCAGGTATGGGTTCTGAGGTAGGAGGAGGGTAATGGCCGCGGTGGTGCCCCCTTCTAGCAACATGGTCTGATAACCAACAAAGGTAAAAACTCATATATTTATTGTTTAAAGATAAATTTAGCATATTTTTATGTTTTAAATTTTGTTAAGAGTTACTAAATGGTGTTCAAGTACAAGATTCCTTACTTGATGTTTGTTCAGTTGCAGGGGATGAAGACGGAGCGAGTCGGCGGGAAGGTAAGTGAACACACAACCACTGTGCTTGTTACACTTCCAGTACAGTGTGGTAATTACTGCTTCATTATCACTATTAATTACCATCTCTAATTATATTGCCAATTACACTTGTAATATTGGAGTGTTACACTTGTTAGAAGGAATGTTCTCTGTTACGCAGGTTGTTCTTCACTTGGGAAGAACACTGATAGGTATTTCTTTCCATAGATTATTTTACACTTTTAATGGAGCTGGTCCACCTCAGTGAGGAACAGCGAACACGGGAGAACAAGTGTGGAGGGAAAGTGAACACGGGAGAACATGTGTGGAGGAACATTCCAGGAACCTGTAGTGTCAAGGAGAATCCAACTGTTCTGTCATCTAGTGTTCTTGGATTGTCTAATCAAATGTGGCGTCAAGGAAGCTGTCACGCGATCATTTGGTGTCAAATTTAACGGTCAAGAAACATTTCCAGTTGACAGGTGGAAGAGTAACGCTTCCGTCAGCCGGACTATCAACTCCCCGTCCCAACTGGTGCCTGGAAAACTCTCGAACACACGAGTTATCTTTGAGCCAAACAAGACATGTAAAGAGCAGTAATCCCTGGAGCCGTACTGAGCGCCAGCCATCACAGTCAAGTGGACCTGTGTAATCCCTGGAGCCGTACTGAGTGCCAGCCATCACAGTCAAGTGGACCTGTGTAATCCCTGGAGCCGTACTGAGCGCCAGCCATCACAGTCAAGTGGACCTGTGTAATCCCTGGAGCCGTACTGAGCGCCAGCCATCACAGTCAAGTGGACCTGTGTAATCCCTGGAGCCGTACTGAGCGCCAGCCATCACAGTCAAGTGGACCGCCGCGCCCGCCTCCCACCAACACTCACCCGCCACAGTACTGTGATTATTTCCTGGTTCAAGAACAAACAGTTGTGGCGAGTATGCAAATGAGGTCATTAAGGGCGCGCCTTCACACCGAGCCGGAGTAATTGTATAGAAGTGATAGTTAACGGCGCGTAAATCATCTTTACTGGAGCTCCCTTGACCCCTTGTTATGGGCACCACAGCAGCGCCTAGTTGCCAACAATAGTTGCAGTGATGGGTCTATTGCTGGCTTTGTATCTCCCTGTCTCGCCCTCCCTGGCTCCCTGTCTCGCCCTCCCTGGCTCCCTGTCTCGCCCTCCCTGTCTCCCTGTCTCGCCCTCCCTGTCTCCCGTCCCCCCTCCCTGGCTCCCGTCCCTCCTCCCTGGCCATCGGTAATCAACCAAGGTCATTGGTGTGTAGACAATAACGCCGAGGTGGTTGTTGGTCTGTGGGAGGTGGCTGGGTGAGGTAACTGGGTGAAGAGTGGGGCCCAGCTTAGCAGTCCACGTCTCAGTGTTGGCCGGGAAAAGCCTTTGACACAGTACCGCACATGAGACTGCTATTCATACTTGTGAGGCAGGCGGGAGTGAGCGGAAAGGCCCTAGTATGGGTAACGAACTACCTAACTGGAAGAAGCCAGAGGGTTACGGTAAGGGGCGAGAAGTCGGACTGGCGAACAGTAACGAGTGGAGTACCTCAAGGATCGGTCCTGGGACCAGTTCTATTTCTAATATACGTAAATGACATGTTTACAGGAGTAGAATCCTACATGTCGATATTCGACAGATGAGGATTGTAGGATCCTCCAAGAGGACTTGAACATATTGCAGAGATAGTCATAGAAATGGCTACTGTAGTTCAACACGAGCAAATGTAAAGTTATGGAAATGGGATTACGTGACAGAAGACCAAAGGGACAGTACACAGTGAAGGGAAACTGCCTACCTGTGACGATTCGAAAAAGAGACCTGGGAGTGGACGTAACACCTAATCTAACTCCTGAGGCACATATAAATAGGATAACGACAGCAGCGTACTCTACACTGGCAAAAGTTAGAACATGATTCAGAAATCTAAGTGAGTTTTTTTTAGGGCGCTTTACACTGCCAACGTGTGAGCAGTCTTAGATTATGCCGCGCCATCATGGAGTCCCCACTTGAAGAAACACATAAGGAAACTGGAAAAGGTTCAGAAGTTTGCGACGAAGCTCATCCCAGAGTTACGAGGGATGGGATATGAAGAGTGCCTGAAGGAACTGAACCTTACGACATTAGAAACAAGAAGGGAGAGGAGGGGATATGATAGGTACATATAAAATATTTTGGGGGTATTGACAGTGGAAATAGACGAAATGTTCACACGTAATAGTAACAGAACGAGGGGACATGGGTGGAAGCTGGAAACTCAGATGAGTCACAGAGATGTTAGAAGTTTTCTTTTAGTTTGGGAGTAGTAGAAAAATGGATTGCACTTAAGGAGCAGGTCGTGGAAGCTAACTCTATTCATAATTTTATGGTTAGAAATGATAGGGAAATAGGACCGGAGTCATTGCAATAAACAACCGATGGCTAGAAAGGCGGGATCCAAGAGTAAATGCTCGAGCCTGCAGACACAAATAGGTGAGTACACACACACACACACACACACACACACACACACACACACACACACACACACACATGATCACCACATTCAAGATTCTCTAGGGAATCGATAGGGTAGATAAAGACAGGCTATTTAACACAAGGGGAACACGCACAAGGGGACACAGGTGGAAACTGAGTGTCCAAATGAGTCACAGAGATATTAGAAAGAACTTTTTAGTGTCAGAGTGGTTGACAAATGGAATGCACTAGGAAGTGATGTGGTGGAGGCTGACTCCACACACAGTTTCAAGTGTAGATATGATAGCGCTCAATAGGCTCAGGAACCTGTACATTAGTTGACTGACAGTTGTGTGCCGGGAGCAAAGAGCCAAAGCTCAACCCCCGCAAGCACAACTAGGTGAGTACACACACAAACTCACACACACGCTGCTTGCACACACAGCACAAGCTCCTTTTTACTCACAAACACATAATAAAAGCCATATAAACACACAAACACCTGGCATGTGTTTATACAAACACCTGGCCTGTGTTTATACACACAGACACCTGGCCTGTGTTTACACACACAGACACCTGGCCTGTGTTTACACACACAAACACCTGGCCTGTGTTTACACACACAGACACCTGGCCTGTGTTTATACAAACACCTGGCCTGTGTTTACACACACAAACACCTGGCCTGTGTTTACACACACAAACACCTGGCCTGTGTTTACACACACAGACACCTGGCCTGTGTTTATACACACAGACACCTGGCCTGTGTTTACACACACAGACACCTGGCCTGTGTTTACACACACAAACACCTGGCCTGTGTTTACACACACACACACCTGGCCTGTGTTCACACACACAGACACATGGCCTGTGTTTACACACACAGACACCTGGCCTGTGTTCACACACACAAACACCTGGCCTGTGTTTACACACACAGACACCTGGCCTGTGTTTACACACACAGACACCTGGCCTGTGTTTACACACACAGACACCTGGCCTGTGTTTACACACACAGACACCTGGCCTGTGTTTACACACACAGACACCTGGCCTGTGTTTACACACACAGACACCTGGCCTGTGTTTACACACACAAACACCTGGCCTGTGTTTACACACACAAACACCTGGCCTGTGTTTATACACACAAACACCTGGCCTGTGTTTACACACACAGACACCTGGCCTGTTTCTATACAGACAAAGTTAAGCCAGGAGCCCCCTCATCAGTGACAAGTATCACTGACCAAACATAAAGTACTTCAGTCCTACCTCGCTCCTCTCCGTTTTCTGTCACAGCTTCGCCACCAACCTTGGCATTGGTCTAGGGCTCTAGGCTCACCTCTGTGGAGAATGCTTTGATAACTCCTTTCGTCGGCGGAGGTTGCTTGTGTGTATATGTATGTTTTTTCCTTTTTCACTTCAATTTATGCTTTTGATCTCAATTAGTTTTAAGTTTTAGTCTAAGTGTTTCTCCCACATCTTGCCCGAAACGCTGTGCTCATTAGTGGCTTTAGGCACAGTATGCCTAAAGCCACTAATTGGTGGCATTGGTTGAGTCTGCCGCAACCAATTCGGGATCGGCCACATTGCTAACTTTTAAGAAAGATCGGTTTCTGTCGCAATTCTCAGTGAATCCTATGAAGCAAGAAAATGATGTTTGGTCCTCCATATCCAAATTTTGTTCTGCTGTACATAATGTACTGCTTCACACACTCCGTAACGACGCTTTTTAACTACATTGTTACAACATTGCATCAACGTAACAGTAACGTTGTGGTCAAGCTGTGTAAAGGACCATCGTGCATGCCTGCTCACCCAACAAACTCAAGGAACGCTACATTAAGATACATAATGAAGAGCAAATACGACGAGACAGGAGCGTCCAGTAGCAACAATTAGAGCTGGAACACCGTCAACAACTTTGAGATAGTAAATACAGTCGATGGAGACTTTTTTTTTTTATTAACATATTAGGTACATCTGCATTAGTGCAGCTACCCTAGACTATATGAAGTGGAGTACAGTGTGTCAAAAAGAAGCTAACTAGGTGATGCTAAAAAATCCCCATCACACAGGATGGTTAGTCATACAGAGGCATGTGATAAGCGGTCTGCACTGGCAGACTCCGGATGCATTTTGAGAATATCAACAATACAAGATTGAATAAGGTAGCAGTGATAATACAAGTCCCCATCTCGCAGGATGGTTAGTCATACAGGGCTATATGTTTAATAGCCTGCACTGGCAAATTTTGGGTATACTGTGAGGATATCTTCAAGAATACGAGAGTGAATAAAGTAATTGCAAAGCTCCAGGTACCTCATGCCAACTGGTCTGAAAGGTCTAATAACTGGGCATTCAGTGATGTATTGCGGGAGATCATGCCGTAGTTCCTGCTCACAGAGTTTGCAACTGGAGTGCTCAGGATTGGGAGACCCGTCACCTGCAGCCACCTGCCACAGGTAACGGTAACCCAACCTGATCCTTGCAACCACTGTGTCGCACAGTCTAGTGGACGTTTTGTGCTGTCCATAGATGTAG